GCTCTACCCACTGGCCCACACTGCCTCCCTCTCTCTGGGCTCTACCCACTGGCCCACACTGCCTCCCTCTCTCTGGGCTCTACCCACTGGCCCACACTGCCTCTCACCTCTGTCATTGTCTCTCTTCTCCTCATGTCCTCACCCATCTCCCAGCCCCCAGTCTCTCTCTGATCAGTATGCACTCAGGCCTGCCAGAGTTCCGCCCCGGAGCAGGTCAGGAAATGAGAGAGTAATAGGCTGAGGCAGAGTGCTTAAGTAACTTAGGCAATTTCTCTTTTAATTTGAAAGATGGAAAATATTGATTATGGATTATTTTTTATATTGTGCCCTTGATCCAGAATGCAGAAGATTTGGATTTGGATTTAGTGGCGCTTGTGCCTCCTCTCCATGGTACCTGTATCTCCTCTCCGTGGTACCCGTGTCTCCCCACTCCACAGCGCCTGTGCCTCCTCTCCATGGTACCTGTGTCTGACATGAAGCGCATCAGTGGGAACGAGGGGAGTGTCCTGGGCAGCTGGAGTCCAGCCCTCCTGTCTGCCCTGAGTCTTCTGCAGCCCATGGGTCCTGCTCTCTGCGAGAAGCTCCCTGGATTGTTCATGACCACAGAGAGTCAGGACCTCGGTTTCAGGTCTCATCAGAAGGACGACGCCTTGTTACAGTCTAGTGTCCCAGTCACTATACTGGGGCATTAGGACCCATACAGTCCTCAGGGTGAGCACTCCCTACGGGTCCCACTAACACCAGCAGCAGCCTTAGTTTTTCCCAGGAGTCTCCCATCCAGGTACTGGTCAAGCTCACGCTGCTGAGCACCAGTGAGCTGCCAGCTGGGAGCTGCAGGGTGACATGGCTGCTGGTACTACCTCCATTTCCTCTCCAGAACTGGAGAGACGGAGAGCACATGCATGTCTCTTTTAAAGTCAACATTAAAAACTTGGATAAAGGGGGAAAATGGAGCAGCTCTTTGAAAATGTTTCTTCCTGGGTCTCTTCTGTGGTGTTCAGAGGTGATACTGCGCTCACAGCGCTCTGAGAGGTGCCAGCAGCTCCGCCTGTAGGCCGGGGACATTTAACAGAAGGTGCTGCTTCCCTTGTTGGGAAGATGGACCTTGAAGACTAACCTACGGCCTGAATTTACGGGGCTTGACACAAGCGAAAGAAAACGTTTTGTCAGCCTCTCCACAGCTTGTCCTCTCCGCATTCAGCGACTGATGTCCTCTCTGTTGTTCAGAGGTGAAGAGACAGAAACGGCTCTCCATTGTGCGCGACTGCATCTTCGCTCCGCTGGCTCAGGTGAAGCCCTTTCTCGCGCGTCCTTCAGGCCCTGAATGAGCAGCTTTGTGCGGGCTGCTGTTATTGTCTGTGATTAATAAACACAACACAACCGTCCCCAGTAATTGTTCTTACCGGGGCATTAGACGGTACGTGACTGAGCCATGACTCACCTATATTAGGGACACGAAGGTGAGCCGCCGGGGGGGTGGGGGGAGCAAAGTTTTTTTTTAAAAAAGACGAAGATGGAAAAAAAGAGAGGTGGCGCTGGGAGAAGAATAAATCTCCGCCCGTATAAATAGGGCAGCTCGACGGGACGAGCAGCAAGGAGTGGAGAACGGCTCTGAGCACAACGCGAAGCCTCCCGTCTGCCATGCCCGAATCCGCGCTGCCGCTGTGCCTGCTGGGGCTGCTGGCCCTGTCCTCCGCCTGCTACATCCAGAACTGCCCCCGAGGGGGCAAGCGCTCGTACCCCGACACCGGCCTCAGACAGGTAAGCGCACATTCACGCCTCTGCCAGATCTC